GTGCCCACAGCCACCTCCTAAGCAAAGTGTCTACCCCAACTCCCCTCTCACGCTTTTACCATCCTGGACTTCAGGGAGACCTGAAGCGCGGGGTCCACTCCCCTTTTTATTCAAAAGCGGGCCATTGAAGACATTCCCCTAAACCAGGAATTTAAACTTGGTTGCACTTCATGCCAAGTAACCCCCGAACATGAAAATCTCCAGCGTATGTATGCAAAGGAGAAACGGTGGTATTTCCATGTACAAAAGGATTCGTTTCCGGTGTGCCTCTAGTTGGCTGGTCTCCCCGAGGGCCCGGGACAAGCTGAACTGCACCCAGCGTGTCTAGAGCACCTGATAGGATATGGCATTTGTCACAGATGGTCTGCAAGTCCTCAGGCAGGTGGCTGAGAAAAATGCTCCCACCTGCCGAACTGAATTATTGAGCATCAGAGAGAAAAGGCTGTGCTGTTGTGGTTTGAAGTCATTCGGCGTCCACGTGCCCAGGAACCAGCTTGGAAAGTTGTTACAAAGCAGTCCCTTTCTTCCTCCTTCACCGCGCCCTGCCTGCCTCAGCGCCAGTCCGGGCGGACCAGATGGGAGCCTGGCCCCGTCTCGGGGGGCCACAGACCTCCTGGCCGCTGTGACGTCAGCCGCCTCTTGTGCCCACTGTGACGTCAGCCGCCGCTATGCCGTCACAAAAGCATATTCTTCAGTCACTGCGCTAGACCCCCTGTACTTAGATTCTCGCGGAAGCTCTTAATAAATACTTTTATTTATTATGAAGCAGAATTATCCACCTGTGTGTGACTTAGAAGGGAAAGCCAGGTCCTCGAAGACTCCTTTAGAGGAAAGTTCCTGTAACCTCAACCACAAAAAGGGCCAAGCACACAGAACCAGGCACTTCGGGCAACTCGTTTTCTTCTTGTCCCGCCTCCCCCCTCCCCCGCCCTTGCGTAAAACTGCGTGGGCACATTGGCCAGGACCTGTGGGTTTCCGAGCTTCAAGCCTTACTGCTTAGAAAAATGAGGTAAGAGATTCCCATCCGCCACGTCACAGGGACACACACACCACGCCCCGGTCTTCCCCGCCCGGCGGCGGCGGCGTTATTGCTGGAAGTCGGAGGGCTGCTCTGCCGGCTGTGAACAGGTCTGCAGAGTCCTTATTGCCATCTGGCGGCCCGGTGGCCGGCCGAGGACAGGTGACGGCAGGGGCCTGGGGGCCTGTCCCCGGCCGGGCAGTCCCGGCTGTCGCTGAAGGCCCCTGGTTCGGGGGCTCCCCGCGCGGCCCTAGCAGCTGGGGGAGGTGGTGATGGGGCTGTGCAGGTAGGGCAGGCTGCTGGGGGCCGCGTGCACGCCCACCGACACCG